CATTGAGTTCTCCTATGGGTTGTACAATAATGCTTCAAGAAGTGGTAAACGAAGGATCGGTATTTATGTTGTCGATCGCAAGAATTATCCCAATATCGCAAATCTTTTTCATTCTTAGTTTTGTTATACCAAGTAAGAGCTGATCCTTTTAGGAATGAAGGGACTAGTGTAAGGCGTCGCTTATCTGAAATCCCATTTGCATTTCCAGCATGGTTATATCATTCTAACCATTCTCTAGAATCTTGATCTCCTCTCTTAAACGTTGGTAAGTCTACAAACTTAGCTTCCCGCGATCCACCAAATCCAACAGTTTTGAAGACAGTCTGGAGGCCTTTCATCATCTTAAAGAGTTGTCTTTCGTCATTATCTTGGGCATTATCGGCATCAAAAGGATCTTCATCGTCACTTCTTGAGTTACTATCTTCAGAGCTAGAACTAGAGGAAGATGAAGAACTATCATAATAGGAGGGAGAGCGACGACTCTTTGATTTACCGTTCTTCTTATCTTTTGACTTTTTATTTCACGCGAGCTTCGTGAATGATCAGTTTTTGACCGAGAGGAACGTGAGAAATGAACATCCTTTTTATCAGCAATGGTGTCTTCCTCATCAGAAGATTTCGTGTAGGTTAATTTAGGTGGCTTTCTGGTTTCTCAATATGAGCTAAAAGTGGAGTTGTCGAAGCTTAGGGTTCATTTTTCAGGGTCCCTTCCACTTGGAGTAACGTCTGCAATGATAGTATCCTCAGGTGGGTAATTGGTCTGAGAAATCAGGTTTTTTTTTACTGATTCAGAAGTAGCACTATTTCTACGGCTCATCGAAGGTTTAGTCATTCTAGATGGAGAGGAATTACGACTTATACTTAAAAGAGATATATTAAGGTAATTAAGTAAATCACCTTGATATTTCTTCTGGAATAGTTCAGTTTCAGTTTGAGCTCGAAAACAGTATTCGACAGCTCGCTCAAAGGTTGGTATTGATACTTGTTTGTATCTCAAAGTTTTAAGCGTCTGCTGATAATATATTTCTTGTACACTGGTAGTTTTTGCAAAAAGTG